CGTCACTTGAACCAAATTTTTCTTCAAACAAAAAAAAAAAAATAAAAATAAAATAAAACACAAGACATCAGTATTTCTTTGTAAATTTGACTTTAATCAAGTAATCATTTTAATTACGACCGATATAGAAAAACGAGAGGAAGACAGTAAATTAGTAGATTATCAGTGTTTGAAACTAGAAAATAGAATTTAGACATCATGGGGCTTAAAATCAAATGTATTCTTTGATATCAAAATTTATTAATAATTAATTATAATCGAATTTTCATTATAATATTAATTATTTTATAATGAACTGCGGAGGGTCATCATAAAGATGGATGCATTCCCAAAATAAAAACGTATGTTTATAAAAATGTCAGGCCATAAGTATATAGACTTTTTAATAATAAAGCACCAAATTAGTTTATTATAATTATTTCTTTTAACAATACTTGAATAAAATTACTAATACAAAATATTAAATCGGAAACTAAAAATACAATAAATATAAGTAAACTTTTTATTAGAAAACGTTCAATTTAAACCATTCTAGGAGGTATCTAATATTATAAAGAATTAGTGAGGAGTAGCGGTACAAGTGACGGTAGTGGTTGTGGAACAAGTTTTAGTTGTGGTTGTGGAACAAGTTTTAGTTGTGGTTGTGGAACAAGTTTTAGTCGTGGTTGTGGAACAAGTAACAGTCGTGGAACAAGTTTTGGTCGTGGTACAGGTGACTGTTGGATCTGCGGTCACGGTACAGTATTTAGTGACTGGTTCAGCAGTTACGGTAATAGGGGCGAGAGTTACAGTTACAGTACAGGTTTTGGTGACTGGTTCGGCGGTGACGGTACAGTATTTGGTGACTGGATCAGCAGTCACGGTAAGAGGGGCGAGAGTCACGGTTACAGTGCAGGTTTTGGTGACTGGGGCTGCGGTTACAGTACAGGTTTTGGTGACAGGGTCTAAAGTAATAGGGTCTAAGGTTTTATAACAAGTGACAGTAGTGGGTACTGTTGTTGTACAGTAAACGGTGGTTGGTACGGTTGTAGTACAGTATTTGGTTGTTGGTACGGTTGTAGTACAGTATTTGGTCTTGTTACGGAATTTAGTACAAGTGGTGGTTGAAACTTTGGTTGTCGTGGTGGTGCAGTGTGTGGTTACAGTTGCGGTTTTGGTTGTGGTCGTGGTACAGTGTGTTGTTACAGTTACAGTTGGTTGATATTTACGTCTTTCAAAGTCAGCTGCTGGAGCAGCGAGAACAAAAGATGTAGCTACGAGAGCGAAGAAAAGGTATACTAAGAATTTATTCATAATGATAATTATTTTATTTTATGGAAGTAAAAGAAATAATTGTATTACTTTTCTTTATAAAATGAAATATTAGTTTCGAAAAACTGAGGAGCCCTTGGTTGAATTCACTCCCCTTTTATAACAAATTTTCCAATTGTTCCTTATTGTGATAAAGAATTTTATATTAATCGCGTATGGTATGAATTGTTTTCA